CAATCTGGGTTTATATTCACCGCACCAATATATCGCACTCTAAAAAAACGGGTAAAGTGTAATTTTTGAAAGTGTTTAATTTTTAACGATTCGATTCATGTACTGAAAATCACTCGACCACATCGTATTGGGTATCAATGGAAAGCTTTATTTCTCAGAATTTAGATAAATATAGCTTCCTGTCACTTACGAAAGTTACTGAACACCTCAATCATGGTCAAAACGGTGTTTGTCTGACCTAGTTATAGGGTCATCCCATTTATGAGGCATCAAACGTGCACTTTTAATAAGGCACGCATGAGGATTGGTTACGTGTGAGGAAAATTTACGTGTGATCGGTTATCCTCTTATGAAATTCTATTAGACCGAGCAGTTTTTTTCTCTGTAAATATGCAATTTTTCAATTGATGTCACCCTGAGATGGTGTCACTTGGTGCGGTCCGCACCCCCTGCATCCTCCAAGCGACGCCACTGTTTAGATATATAATACTATATAGGTCTTTAAAAATCTTGTCTTTATTTAAATCTAAATAAAACACAAAAAATCAGGCCTGCACAATATACGGATCGCGGGTTGCATGCGGCCCGCCAGAACCAACTTTGCGGCCCGCCAAGTAACGAAATATTCTTTATTCTTATTATTTTCTTAATAGCTTTCCCCTCCTTTCCATTATTCTTTTGACCATCACAAGTCTTGTCCTATTTCTTTTGGTCCGCAAAAGGTTTTCATAAAGTATATTGAGTTGAGCAGGCCTGCTATAAATGGGTACAAATTCATTTTTAATGTATTTTATTTTTTAACGATTCTTATACTTCGAATCGCGCGACAGCACCGTAATTGGTATCAATGGAAAACCATATTTCTCAGAATTTGGATAAATATAGCCTCCTTGTCAATTAAGGAATTTACCGAACACTTCAATCGGATTGGAATAATGACTGTGTTTTTCTGACCTAAACATAGGGTCATCTCATTTCTAACGCACCAACCTTGAACTTTTAGTAAAACACGCAATTGGATTGGTTACATTTGTGGAAGATTTATGTGTGATCGGTTATCCTTTTATGAATCTCAGTTAGACCGAGCACTGTGTGCTCAGTGTGCTCTCCAAGTATAAGTATGCAATTTTTCAACTGGGTGTCACCCCTAAAATGGTGTCACCCGGTGCGGTCTGCACCCCCCTCGCTACGCCACTGGATTCAATCCAACCAAATGAACACACATGTAATACTAATACAGTAGATAAGACGGGTAAGTTCAATTTTTTTTAAAATTATTTTTTACTAAGAAATTGTTAATGGGGTATAATTTTTAAAATATTGTAAAGCCTAGTTATAACACAATCATTTAAATCCATAAAAATTTTATTAAAATCAGATGGCGTTAAAAATTGTTTCCATTAATGTGTATTTTTATAACATTACGAGCAATTATCGTTGAGTTTTTTTTTAAGTAGGAAGATAAGGAATTAATTTTTTTGTTCTTTAAAAAGGATATCTAAGACACTTGTGGTTAATGATATATATTTTTAGAGGTGTCTCAAAGTTGATGCGTAGTCTATATTTGTATGTAAAGAGATGAAAATAAATTTAAATTTAAAAAATTTAAAAAAACAGCTGTTAGTGAAGTTATTTAGATATTTATATTTTTTTCCTTCCGGGAGATGGCTATGAAGATGTTCAAGGCTGTGAAAACATGGGTTTCAAAACACAGGGCTTGTCAGTACATACCTAAACACAGCACAGAATTTTTCTTTCTTACTTTCATATAAAAAGACAGGTACATCCGACAATGTTACAACAGCCCCTTTGGCTATTTAAATACCTATTTTGAAATTTCTAGACCATAAGCACCCCCACCCTCATCAACGACTTTTAAATAGATGACTTTTGTGATTTTATCTATAGCAAGGCTAATTACTTGTCATGTGCATAATATTTTAAATCTATTTCTATTTATTGTAAAGATTGCTGATGCTGTGTCTATTCTTAATATTTTTGAGTACTAAATATGTACATAATAAAAAGTACATAGGTCTTGAGTATATTTCTATTTCTTGTAAACAAATTGTTGATGATGACCATATATTTAATATTTTGAATATACCGGTACAGACATATATTAACTACAGGTTAGTTCGAAGCAATTTTTAATATATATATATATATATATATATATTGTAATTCTTAAATACCGGTACTTAAACAAGTATGCTTGCATAGGAAATATTAATATAATGTGAATAAAAAAAATATTAACTGTATGACACATTTTTGTTCTTTATTTCATATATGTTGTTGTATATAGATTTTCCTTAGAAATAATTAAAAATTACAACTCCCTTATGACTACTGACCCATAACCTAAGATTGCACTCTATATAAACAAAAATATAACCCAACAAGAATACCCATCACAGGTTATGCACACATTAAGAAGCACTCATTAAAATATGAACACCGAGAAACGAAGGCCATCTTAATGACTAAAACAGTCACATCTTGCATGACTAAAATAGTCACATCTTGCATGACTAAAACAGTCTCATCTTGCATGACCCTAACAGTCACATCTTTCATGGCTAAAACAGTCACATCTTACATGACTAAAACAGTACCGGTAATATCTTACATGACTAAAACAGTTATATCTTACACAACTAAAACAGTCACATCTTACATGACTAAAACAGTCATATCTTACATGTCTAAAACAGTCACATGTTGCATGACTAAATCAGTCAGTTCTTGCATTATTTAAGAAGTCAGTATGCATGAACATAATGAAAGTGTAGCTGAAGCATTATTTCATGTACGGCTACTGTGGTAAATAAGATGAAACAAAAGATCCTTTATAGTATAGTAGTATAAGTAGCAGAAGTTGTGAAAGAATGTGTGGCTGCTGCTTTGACTTCTTGCAATGATGATAAAAACTTAGTGGAACCATTCAGAAAATACCTTGGTTTGACGAAGCAAGTCGTAGAATTGATGAACATGCTGAAAATGTCTATGATTAAAGATATATAAGAAACTCTGAATCATTTGCTCTGGTTGATGATGATTAATCAGATATTGCAGATGTTGATCACCTGTCCATGTTTGTTTTTTCAATGGAAATTCAATCACTGATGATTTTCTTCTGTTGCTTCCACTACATCATCAAATCCGAGGTTAGGATATTTTATATGTAATTGCAATACCGGTAATTCATTAAAAAATAATTATATAGTAATGAACTTGATGTCAGAAAAATTGTCTCATTGAAATAGACGAATTTTTTGCCAGTTGTGTTTTTAAGCTACCGTTAGTTAAAACTAAATTGATCTCATATTACTCAGAATTACTGCATTATTCATCATTCAATTCTGTATTTTGCCTTTAATACTAGAAACACACCTCATGATTAAAACGCTTTCTCTTTAGGTGTAAATTCAAATAATTTAAGCTGAAAAGGAATATGTCAATTATAATAAAAAAACAAATCCATTTAGTTGGATCAATAAATAATCTTATCTTATTGTATTCAAAACTGAGCAGTGAATTATCTGAAGGGATGGCAACAGTCATGAAACTTAAAAATGTAATAATAAGCAGTTCATCTTTACAGAATAGTCTGTTTATAAAAGTTTCTTGGATGAATTAAGTGCTTAGCATATTCATTTTCTATAGCACGATGATGTAAGATAATTAAGCAAAGGAAGAGTTTCAGACTACTTGTGTTAATGTGAATTGGTGTCTTAAGTTAAAATAAAAATTAATTCAGAGAATACGTATGAGTTTGTGGAGCTTTGCATAAAAAAAAGTTCGTCCGTCGAAGATCGACTAGGACCATCGAGTCGTCTGGTGATTGATGACTTGCGCGGGTGACTTTTTGTTTAAGGTGAGGAAGAGTTGCGTGGCGTCAACCTCACTCTCTCATCCGGGCCCACCATATCCAGTGGCAAGACTCTAGGTCAAGACGACCAGGGATGGGTACGGTTGCAGGAATTGTCATTGTATGAGCCTTACAGGACTCCAACTCCGGGTTTGAATTCAGAGTTTCCTTCTCTTAGATGAGTTGCCGATCAAGGTTAATGCGTCTCATTCACCCAGGAAGCTGGTGATGTTTTTGTTTGATTGGCCTTTGGCTGGAATTGAATACATTAACATAAATATGGACAAGATGGTAAATGTTGTTGTTTTTTAGGTTGACATTACTTGCTATCTTATATTGTTCTACAAGGTAACAGCTAGATTGCCATGGAGATACAACTGACATGAAATTCTTTCCATAGAAATTTTTGCTTGTTACCTGGTATTTGAAAACCACTCAGTTTTCGCAGCTTCCTAAAGTCCGTTTTTATGTGAAGTAGAACAGCTTGGGTTTTCAAGTCCATTTAAAGATTTTCAGGAATGTAAGAAATTTTTTGTTCTTTAACGATCCATTTATCGTTTTCCGAATGGTGGTTTAAAAGCTGCTGACACCTGCATTTACCACAATGGATCGACCTGTTCCTCAACTTGAAACAGCTGATATCCAGGGGACGAACACATGAAACTGAAGCTTTATGCCTGGGAATCAGCAGTTTTATGTTATGAGCTGGATGTAGAATATCCAATTTTTAGGAGACTAGCATTGAAGGTAGAACAATATTTGAATAAACTTATTTTAGTCAGAGCGCATTTTCAACTCCAAACATTATCAAGACCAAGTTTAGAGTTGTGATTGAATTTTTTTTTAATAGCTTTTTTTTTTACAAGTGAAATAATTTAATGTAGATGTCTTGTGTTCAAATTTTTTTTTCATGTGCTGAAATGTACATTGCAATTAAAAAAACATTTCCATTTGTTTGGATTAATAAAAGAATTTATCTTGTCAAAGTAGTTTTTTTTTTAAAACTCAATCCATATTTATTAAATGGCCATTGGCTTTTCTCTTTTTAATATCATAACAGTAAACAATTCTCCCCTATTACTTGAACACATTTAAAATAACAAAAAAAACTTTTGATGAGAAACCAGTAGAAAGAGGTAGGTATTCTAAATGAAAATTGCATATAGAAATTAAATAAAATTCATCTATTCCCCTATATAGTTGTTGGCTTAATGAGAAGTAGTGCTTAGTTTAATTAGAACAGAACCATCAATTTTAATTCTCTATCTCCCATTTTAAGAAGTTATGAATATTTAAAAACTTGTGAGCAGAGTCAAATTTTCGATGACTCGAATGTGTAGACTTGACAACCGCTATCTCCTAAAATAAATCAGTTTCAACTTTCATTCTCTTGAACCAACAGCCAATTTCACTTATACATAAAACTAAATCAATCATTTTGTGGGGTTGTCACAAAGATGTAAATACAAAATTTATTCATATAAATATGAGCAGAAGCACAATTTAACAAATTTGGGAGACAAAAAGTAATTTTAGTTCACTTTTAAAAAATTCACTAAACGAGTGAGAAATATTATATTTAGATAGTGTCGAAGGAAACGTAAAGTTTATTATTGAGAAAGTAACTGGAAGGGGATAAATTAAAATTATAATTAACTAGAACTATATTAACTCAGCATGGTCACACAAAATAAGAATTTTAGAGAATTTTAATATTTAAGAATGTATACTTTTATATATATATAACTTTTTTTAAACTAGCATACTAGCATTTCTATTAGCGTGCCTAATCCATTTTGTTGTTGTTACGAAAATTCTAAATTGTCAATTAAAAAAAAAAATCTATGGATTTGATAAACAAAATGTTTTAATACTGAAGAGACAATTTATAATTGATCTGAAGTGATAGTAGTTAACCTACATCCTAAATGAGTCACCGAGTATTGAGCTGCCCTGAGAATTTTTATATATTATAAATATAGTTAAAATATAGAATAGATCATAGGTGAGTTTTAATTTTAATATTTCATTGGATGAAACTTAAAACATCTTGTTTGTAAACATGCGACTAATATCACCAACAATACACACCAACTAGTTCTAGTTCTTCTATTTTTTTTCTGTTAATTAAATAGATAAACAACCTTGATTTAAACTAGAGTTATGTCCCCTTGCTCTGTCTCTGGGAGTAGTACCAGTATAAAATGAAGTACCAGTACCTAAATATAAATACAATATCTTTTTCCAAGTTAAATACATAATGAATTGATGGCAGATTAATCGATATCGTAAGATAAATTGGTAATCAGCTAATTGTTACAACTCTAATTTCTACAATGAAATATTACACAAATATCACAATTACTATTAGACATAATAAGAGTGTGGTCATTAATTACTGCAAATGAAATATCCCAACAATATCCCAATCAATATAAGCATCTTTATACATTCAAGTCCAATTATGCCATTTTTTCTAATTAAAATAAGTTAAGCCAGTTGTCAATGACATTACACTGATAAATAAACATTAGTTACGCCACTTACTGACAAAACAATTGCCCTGAATTTCTGTTTCAGAAGCCATTTAAAAACATCAACTTGAGCGGGGTGGCCAAACTTTTGTACAAGGGGGCAACACTAATATGAAAAATATATAGTGGGCCGCATAATAATCAACAGCAAACATCATTGAAGAAAGCAAAGTTAATTAGAAATAAAAGTTATTTTTAAATTAAGATTTTTTATATTATAAAAATTGTACACTGTAATTTACAGACTAAAATACTGTAATTATTAACTCCAGGGTATTAAGATCTATAATTTATAAATTTTACATAAACAGTAATCCAGAACCGTAAATGGATGGTATTGCAGTACAGGCAGAATTAATTAATGGTGTCAGCCATTCTGGAAACAGTAGGTAACATCCATGCCAGAGGCGACAGATTGACCCTACAGCTTATCGCTGGACACGTTGAGGTGGTGCAACATGACAGGGCGGATTTTTTTGTCAAAGAAAGCGTGGCCCCGCAATCTGATAGACCAATGACTCAGCAGGGATTTACTGCTTGGTTTAAAGACCCCTTTAGTGAGAAGTGGTTAAGCAGAAGGAGAAAACGGACAATAGCTTTACCGGAGAATGTAGCGACCGAGCAAGAGTGACTCCTGGTGAACACTAAAGAGAGGCGACCAAGGCCTCATCTCAGAGATGAGGACAGCCCATTGCACGACATGCAGCTACCTCAAAAAATTGGACAACAGGAAGAAACCAAACTACCACTTCTGTGGTCAGGCAGATGCGGCTGTGGTTTACTTGGTGATTGCCTGTCCCTTTAGTGGGAAGGGGATGTGGGGTCAAGACCCAGAGACCTGCCTTGAAGATTTACGTCAATTCCCACCAGATGAGGCAGGCCATAACAGTAAAAAGACAGGGCTATAACACATTGAATCTCAGCCTAAAAAGAGGATGTAACATAATGGTTTCAGAGGGACACATGTGTTCAGCAGAACCTTCAATGAGTCAGCCGACAGTCAAAAAAAATACACTTCTGATCAGTGGAGCTTTTAATTTTTAAACAATACAGACATCTTTAATACAACCACATCTGTTTTTATGTCAAAGTACTGTCATCCTAAGTAAGAATGGCATCAAGTCTCCCTCTATCATCTCTATTTTTTATGATAGTCAAGAATTGCCATTTTAAATATTAAAAAAATTATTTTACCGGTACTTAATAAACCTAAAGTGTGTTACCTTAAATGTCTTTTATAAAATTTTAATTATGCACAAACAAAAAATTGGTACTGGTAATTTAAATACCTGTCGTTTATATTTCCATTTAATTTAAACATGTTTAATCACATTCCAAAAAAGAGATTGTGCATACAGCTGATTAAAATTATATAACGGTAAATTTATCCATCTCCACAAATTAGAGCCATAGTTACCGAAAATTCATACGGTATATTTGGGATCAAGAATCCAAATAATCATTATAAACAGGATAAAACAATTAAAACCCAAGGCACCTAGAAAAAGTTTATAAATTCAAAATCCTTCATTTGATTCAGGAAAATGTGACTTCAACATAAGTCAACAAGTCAAAAATATGTTTTTATAAGTTAAACACACACGTCAGCCTTCAACATAATGTTTAAACATGCACAATGTCAAACTTCAACATATTAAAGTCAACTGGCAAAAACCTGTTTTTATAAGTTGAACACAGACTCTTAGTCTCTCTGCTGATACCCTCCCAAGGACACAATGGCATATCATCTCCCAATCACACATGGAAAACTCAAGGCTTTCTCTCCATCGGTTTTCTTGCACAGCTTGATTTAGGTCTTGCCCGTTGGTTTCAACAACACAACCAGTGCTAGAAGTAGAAGAGCTTTGGTGCTCAGATTGAAACTGTAGGCTGATGAAACAAAATACTCTAAGAAAATCACACTGCTTTAATTAACAAAGCAATCACTTGACATTTTACATTATTTTCTTCCGCTGCTGCTCTAATCGCATCCAAAGGTTCAAGGTGTTGGAAAGACGAAGTTGTTGGGAGCAGCGAAGGAGAGAATACTACGGCCAGATTTTCAACAGTCATCAAATTGACTTTTGAATTTTCAGCAATCCTGGTGATCACAGAGAGACCTAATTAGTTCATTAAAAAACATAGATGTAGTTCAAAAGTACCGTACACAATTTTACCCCCACAAAAAACTTAACTTTTTGACAAGAAATTTTCTTTTTTAATCGAAGAGATAAATAACACAGGAATACAAAGATACTAATAAATAACCTTCTTGTTGAACCTAATAAATTACCCAGGCATTTCATATCATCACATGGTGCTTATGTCAAGTATTGTCATTACTAACCTTCGGAGATGAAGGAGTATCGCTGTTAGACAGTTATATTTTGTGCTGTCCAGTTGTAACACGGATTTCATTCTTGTGAATTTCTCAGATTCTGTTGTTAAAGCTGGGGAAAAATTTGGTTGGATTTTTTTCGGTACATGAAATATACATTTAGAGAAATATAAATAATTAACTTCTGACAAGGTTTAATCATTTCATCAACATTTATATTTATAAGTAGATTTTAGCTACGGTTGCATACATTTATGGGCTTATAAATGAACATTTTTACTTTGGAAAAATAAATAGCGATATAATTTTATGATTATAACAAAAACTGCAACAAAAATGTGTAGGAAGAAAAAGAGGGAATGGGAAAAGGATAAACTAAAGGAAATAGAAGATTTATCAAGAGAGGGAAATATATAAGAGCAATGTACATGAAGATAAAAGATGAAAAGAATGGATACCAAGCCAGACCGCAAATGTGTGAGAGCCACAATGGAGAATTAATCACGGAAAATAGTTAAGTATTGGAGAGGTGAGCTGAATATTTTGAGGACATACTGAATACAGACAATAGACAAGAAGAAGATTATCAAATCCCACAGGGAGGACCAGACATGTTTATATAATGCCCAACCCTAGAAGAAACCAAAGAGGTAATTAATAACATGAAAAATCACAAAGCCCCTGGACAAGACCTTATCACAGCAGAACTGATTAAATATGGAGGAAAAGAACTACACAATCAGATACATAAACTTATAACTAAAACTTGGCAAGAGGAGAAAATCCCGACAGAATAAGAAACAGCATTAATAACCCCAATACACAAGAAAGGCTCCAAACTTCAGTGCACAAACTACAGAGGAATCTCCCTATTACATGTTACATACAAAATACTGACGAAACTTATTGCCAAAAGACTACAACCTGACACTGAAGAAATACTAGGCGATTACCAATGCGGATTCAGGCCTAACAGATCAACAACTGATCAGATTTTCACCATCAGATGCCTATTAGAGAAATGCTATGAATTTAATATACCAGTGCATCAACTCTATGTTGACTATAAAATGGCCTATGACAGCATCAAAAGAAGCTATTTATATGAGACTCTGCAGGAGTTTGGGATACCCAACAAACTGACAAGGCTAATACATGTAACACTAAACAACTCAAAAGGCAAAATCAAGATTCAAGGAGAATATTCAAGGGAATTTCATATTAGACGAGGCCTAAGACAGGGAGACTCACTGTCTTGTATGCTCTTTAACCTAACATTGGAGAGAGTTATTAGAAACATACACATTGACACTCGAGGAACGATAACAGGATACTTTCTGAGGGAAACTAAAGACCCACAACCAACGGGCACACTCTACAACCAACCACTTCAGTATCTTGCATATGCTGATGACATAGCACTTCTAGGGAAAGTATAAAAGACACATCAAAATCCTTTATTGAATTAGAAGACGCATCTTTACAAGCAGGGCTGGAAGTTAACAACCAAAAAACAAAATACATGACCATGATAAGAGGAAAACAAACAGATGAAACAATAAAATTATAAACCAAACTTTTGAAAAAGTTAATCAATTCAAATACCTATGGATCCTTGTTAAATGAAAGAAACGAATTACTAACAGAAATAAAAAAAAAGAATATCAGCCGGAAACAGGGTATACTTCAGTAGTCAGAAAATACTCAAAAGTAAAAACATTACAAGAGAAACAAAGAAAACTATTTATAAAACTGTGATCAGACCAGTTGTAACATATGCAAGTGAAACTTGGACCCTAACAAAAACAGCAGAAAACCTATTAAACACATGGGAGAGGAAAGTTCTCAGGAAAATATATGGGCCAACAAAGGATGAATATGGATGGAGAATACGAACCAACCAGGAATTATACAGTCTATATCAGGATCCTACGATAGTGGCAGAAATAAAAAGAGGCAGGCTACGCTGGGCAGGACACCTAGAGAGAATGCCAAATGACAGAGGAACGAAGAGGGTACATCACCAATACCCCAGAGGAAAAAGGCTCAAAGGCAGACCTAGGCTTAGGTGGATAGATGATGTAGAAAAAGATCTACAGCAGCTGAAAGTCCAAGCATGGAAAAGAAAGGCATTAGTTAGGTCTGAGTGGAAGGAAGTAGTGAGGCAGGCCAAAGCCCTACATGGGCTGTAGCGCCACAGGGATGGATGGATGTCTTGCCTAAAAAATGTTCATGTGGTTAGATTAGATTGTTTCAATAGATTATTGGAACATTTTATTATATTATTACAAATTAGTAACAAATTAGATACAGTATTAGGAAAACTCCAAGAAAAAGTTCTACTCATAGACTATTGTGTTTTTAAGTGATATTAACAGTGATTAATTAAGCAATGGGCTACTAAAACAGGATCCCACTCGATTTTAACACCCAGTATATTAAAGATTTTCTGGAACAACCTCCCATCCTGGTAAACCCTTGCATTTTTCTATATACCCAGTATCAGCAAGTAATAGATTGTCACTAATCATCAATATACACAAGTACCTGATACTCTCTAGTTAATTCTGCTTATGTGTAATCATATAATCTGTATCATGCAACTAGCAATGCATAATCATTTGATATAATATGTATATGGCAATGTATTAACATCTGAATAATTTAGTATGATGTCCATTGTTCATTATATATGTATATCAATATTTAATAAAATAATCTGTATAATTGCAATATATAGTGAATTAATCTGTATAATGTAATTAGCAGAAGAAATTATTCATGTAACAAAGAAATAAAAGAAATGCTACCATTTGCTCCGAGTAGTTCTTTTACAGAGTCTTCTCCAATCAGAGGAGGGGCTAGCTCTCGTATGACCATCTTCAAAACATTGCTGACGGTTATCACAGGTAGACTACGAACTGCTTTAATGTCTGCAAAAAAAATTATTCGATTAGATTCAATCTCTTTACTATAGATGTGGTGCTTTTGTAAAATACAGTTCCAAAATCCAGCAGGATATGGACGAGGAATATTTAAATAAAGAAATTGATTTAAAAAACAAATTGGATGTTTTTTTGTATATTGAAGGCAAAAGATATTAAAATTGTATTATTTTGTAATTACTTTTTAACATCAAAATATTTTGATAAATTTAAATAAATCAAAAAGCAACTTGTAAGTTGAAAGTTTTAAGGAACATTTTTTTAAAGATATTTTTTTGTTTTTACCCGCCATTTGACCGTGGTGATTAAAAAACATTTTTTATTGCACACATTCAAAATGATGCCACTAATAATAACATATGTTTAAATCTAAAGTTTAAATGAAATTTCTTCAAAGTCAGCATACATGTCAAAAATTGCAATAGGGATATTTTGTTTCTGATCATTAACTAGTGGGCAGTGCCTACAAATAATATATAAATATATATATAGCTATTGTGTTACTGTAATCACTATCTGAGGTGGCATTGAGAGAATTTTAGCATACATGCCAACCAGTGGCATAACTAGGGGGGTGTGGGGATGCAGATAAATGAATTGTGCTGCCCACGGCTACTACTTCTAAGCTAAGTGCTATTTTTTAATTTTATACTGTTTTTTCTGTTGTTTTGTTCACTGGCGAAGGTTTCCTGCTGACATGTTCGTTGTTTGGTTGCGTTCCTTTTTTTCAGGTTTAACCCTACTTTGTTCACTCATTGTATATTGTATATTAACCTGATTGCACTCTCTCTCCTTATTACCCTTGCGGTCTAACCCAATTTCATAAAAGTATAAACAATCACACGTAAATTTGTCCCAAATGTTACCAATCCAAATGCGTGCTTTATTAAAAGTTCAAGGTTGATGCGTCAGAAATGAAGTGACCCTAAAAAAAACAAAACATCGTTTTGACCATGATTCAACGCCAATTGAAGTGAGCAGTAACTTTCGTAAGCGACAGAAAACAATATATATCTAACACAACAATTCATTGTATGTTGGCCAAATGGAAGCTTAAATCTTATTGGTCCGTTATAAATGAACATATTTTTATTGTTATGCTAATGTTATAGTATATCCTATGACTTGAACTATTTTTGTTTAACGTAGAGATAAAGCGTTCCATCACCCCCTCTCTGTTTTTTGAAATGTGTTACGCTACTAATTTTTACCCACCCCCACCCACTCCTGAATGGAAAAAAATTGTTTGCGCTCCAATATTTTTATTTGTTAGATTAGTTAGAAAGAATGCTGTCAAGCTGACGCAATATACCAACCATCCCAGCCTACACAACTGCCCTCAAGACCTAACTCTTCAAAGTGTATTATTATACTGACTCATTCTCACTCCCCTCAAACTGATAAACGACTGGTTGCTGCTGGTGCTGTCCATGGCAAGAAAGGGGTAGATAGTACTTGGGTGAGTGAGGTCAAGCCTTTTTACGAATTGTTGTTTTTAAATGTACAATTTTCTGTAATTGCTCATTTTAATGTGAAGCGCAGTGAGTTTAACCCTAGGCTGGGGTACTGCGCTATATAAAAGTACCTTAATAATAATAATATTAATTTCTAGAATTTCTTTTATGGAGGATTCTGCTTACTCCCTATGTATATAAGTCGGCAGCTTTTCTTGCCGGAAGAGATTGTTGCTGATTTTCCTAAACTTTAATGAGACAAGACAGTATAATTACAAGATTGTACTCGTTTGAAATTTTAATATTTGCATTTCGAGAATTGTCTTTTTAAAATCCTTTAAAGAATTTCGCTTTTATTCATGGCTGGTAATTCTTTGGATGGCGAATCGACCCACTTCCCGTCATTCTATCAAGCTGAAACCTGGCACATAAACCGATGCCGGTGACAACATATTCTTTCAAATTTGTATCCCCACCTACTGACCCCCACAAATTATTTTTTTACTCTTTTAAGGGGAAGATAAAGGAAATGATGATAATGATTCCACGAAATAAAATTCCAGATAACTGTGCTAAATGAGATTCTTTAAAAAAATATATAGTGTGTTTGGTGCGTAATATGTTCTTTGTTTTTCTGAAATAGTTGGTGTAATATAAATCTGTGTTGTAAAAGCAGATGGGTCATGATAATAATATTATGGTTCAGAGGCATGGAAAAAAAATGTGCGGTTGCAAGCCTCGAGTGGGGGGAGCACTAATTTGGTTTCTTTTACATGTTTTGTCAAATTTTTAGCCCCACCCCCTATAGCTCAATATAAAATTATATTTATATAAGGGATTTAGGCGAAAAACTATGCTTTTAAAGGTTGTTTAAGTTACTTGCTGTAAGTTGGTAGAGTTTTTATTTGTCTATTTTCTTCTGTATTTTTTATATAAATTTAATACCATAATTAAATTGAAAATTGTTAGTATCACTAGGTTTGGTGTAGTTTTTCTTTGCATAACCTTTTTTTTAGTTCTTTGTTACATATTGTTTATTTAATGAGCCAAAGCTTAAATTAGATTAAATTTAAGAAATAAATATAAAATATTGTGGTAGTTATTCCCGGATCATTAAGATAGTAATAGTATTAGTTGTAGCTTTTATGAGAAACAAACAATAATTACAAACCATTCGTTTACCAATCTTAGCAGTTAGCAAACAACTTCAATGTCAGCAAGCGTTCTTTTTATTCCTATTAAAAGCATTCAAATATAATTATAACCACTAACAATAAATAGCCATAGTATTAGTAATTGTGTCTATTAATTTTATACCCCCAAGCCTTACTTAATTGGCTGCCACCATTCGGACCCGGGTCCAAGAAGTTAGAGTTTGGGTTTATTAAAAAATATTTTAAAATTATTATAGGGTTTGTAAGACAAAATTTGGTATTAAAGGAAAGAACCTGAAACGCCTCGCTGCTATTCGGACCATGGTCCCTTTAGATTCAATGCTATTCTGTCATTTTTGGTAGTTTATTTTTGTTAAACTAAAGAATTAAGTTTACAAACATATAGTCCATTCAATTATCTTTCATTTGATACCAAATTTTGTCTTACATACAACCGAACAATAATATATTTTTAAAAAATTTTAATCCAACCCTCTAACTTCTCGGACCCGGGTCCGAATACCTACTTCATAATTAATTTAACATGTTTCCACTTTCTCACACTAAAGCTGGTAAGGTTTTCTTCAATTATTGAATGTGTACGTTGGCCTGTCTTACATATATTTTTAGGCTGACATCAGTAAGAATTTTTTAATTTTTAAAATAAATTATAATGCTTATTAAAATTTCAATTAAGTTGGTAAACCAAATAAAAAGCTGAAATAACAAAAATCGGGGTATGGGTCTCGGGGTTATGGATCTATTGAGTATGGGGTCCGACGTTATGGTGTAGGGGATATGAGGTTAAGGGGTAGGGGATATGGGGTTAAGGGGTAGGGGATATGAGGTTAAGGAGTAGGGGTATGGGGTTAAGGGTTGGGGATATGAGGTTAAGGGTTGGGGATATTAGGTTAAGGGGTAGGGGATATGGGGTAGGAGATACGGGGTTAAGGGGTAGGAGATATGGGGTAGGAGATATGGGGGTACAGGGGAAGGAGATATGGGGTTAAGGGGTAGGAGAGATGGGGTAATATGAGGTTAAGGGTTGGGGATATTAGGTTAAGGGGTAGGGGATATGGGGTAGGAGATACGGGGTTAAGGGGTAGGAGATATGGGGTAGGAGATATGGGGGTTCAGGGGTAGGAGATATGGGGTTAAGGGGTAGGAGATATGGGGTAGGGGATATGGGGTTAAGGGGTAGGGGATATAAGGTTAAGGGGTAAAAAATATCCGGTGAACGAAATCAAAGAAAGCAGGGTTCATACAGAATTCAAGGTCCAGAGTTTACAAACTTCTCCCAAAACAGTTTAAAATCAACTTATGAAGACTACAACATAACAAAGTAAGCTAAGCTTAGTCATTTTAGTCAGCGCTTGGACGAGTAGTTTTCTATTTTTAATAGTTACTTATTTTTAATGGTTACCTCACAATTGAAAACTAGGTTCAAATAATTATTTATGTAAAAAATGGAGACAACTGCCACTATTTTATCAAATTTCACGAATGTATCCCTAAATCGATCCCTATGCCTAACCTGAACCCTAAATCGATCCCTCAACCTAGCCTAACCTAAACCCCAATTCACTGCAACTATAATAAACACACAAAAGACGCCATGGCAGCCGTCCTCGGATTTAACCATTATTTACTATATTTTACACTTTACTTACCCAAACAGTCAAACATCTCTTGATCGGCGATGTGAACAGAAATTAATTATTTCTAGTCTATCGAAGTTGTATGGTATTAGAAACTTGTAGAAATCTAAACACATTCGCGGTTAAATTAAGGGGAAACCACTCGCATTTCGCAAAGTTCTTAAGATAATAGAAAGGCTATAAATAGACGAAATCGACGATTAACGTCAATTTTCATGGCATCCAAAGCCAAATGTATTATTACTTTTTACAAATCAAAAAAATTCCAGACTATACGCAACATTTCCTTTCTAGAAGGCCCATTTTCCCGATCGGGAAAATTATTCAATAAATTCTCGACTTTTCCCCGGCTGATAGCTTACTAGTTAAGAGTAATTTGATGGCTTAAACGGATCATTCAGAAATGCGCACTGCGCATGTTAGTAAAATTGGAAACATTTTTTTCCTTTCCATTTTTTTTTTCTCTTCGAATTTTAAAAAATAATTTTTCCAAAACTTTCAAAGACCGTGACGTTTTTGCCAATTTTCTTAAACTTTCCAGGCCCTGGAAATTTTTTTTTATTTATCCCAAACCTTCAAAGACCGTGCGAACCCTGTTAGGGGTAGGGGATATGGGATTAAGGTGTAGGGACTATGGGATTAAGGGGTAGAAACTATGAGGGTAAAAATATAAAAATACTACAGCTGCATAGAGCCTGGTGAACAGATTACAAAAACACCAAGATCAACTTTCTAGCTCAAGTGGTTCAAAACTTACAAATTTTTTAGTAGGGACCTCAAAACCACTTTTTCAATATGGGATTTTCCTCCACATTTTGTGACCCTCATTTCGCCTTTTTTTTTCAACGCCTATAACTTTATTATAAAATGATACAAAAATATAATACTTACAGGGAACATAGTTAAATAAGTGTACTTCTAAATAAAGCAACAAATTATAAGTTAGTTTTTGTTAAATGCTGCAAAAATTTAGGAAAAAAAGAGTATTATTTTCCTACTAAAAATAAATGTATAAATATGCTGACTCGTCACTTATTTGAAATTAATTAATTTGTTTAAAAAAATTTTGTTCAATTTCCCAAACATCATAATAATAAAAATATTCTTTAGATATTAATTTCAAATTTTCTGTGGAATTTTTTAACATTTATAAGTATAAACAAATAATAATGGGATTATCTGTTTCATTGAGTTAAAAATGACGATTACACTTTTTATTTTACCATTTTCTATATATGCATTTTAGTCCCATATCATATGAATGTCTGAATATGACCAAAAAATAGTATGTCATTTATTTTAAGTTAGTAAAGTGTTTCACAAATCAACTTGTATTGATAGAATCAACTTTGGTGGTTGATTGAAAATAAAATAAGTTCTAGAAATTTCCTTGAGGTAATTATAAGTTTTTATGATTGTTATGATGAAGTAATATCTTAAGTAATTCTTGGATTATTGTGGCAGAAAGTGTGTTATTTCTTTGAGAATGCTGAGGATTATATAATATTTTTCATGTGAAATGTTGTGATTTGTGAGTGAATAGGATATTTCAATATCAAAGGTAAGAGAATATCAATTTTTTACATTTTTATTTAGTTTTTTTTTTTTAATTTATAAAAACTATCATTACAAAAAGATGTCATAGGTCCTATGTTATAAGTTGGAATGAGGCCAGGCCTAAACTGTATATTATGCTAGGTTCACAGGAGACTCACACAATACAAAATGTTTTATAATATACACACATATATATATGAAAAAAAAAAAAACTATAATTTTATAATTTACTATATAATTAATCATCTGTCTAAGTTGTAATGTTATCACATTCCCCAATTATTCCCTAAAAAGCAGCAGATCATATGACAAATAAGTATTAGTGCTATTCAATTATGTTAATTTGTTTTAAAATGAATTATTATTGACTAATGTGCTGGATTTCCAATGAATATCAAACCATTTACATCAAAAAAGTTAATTATCGATAATAGGTAATTTTGGGACACATATGACTAAAAGTTTGTATAAAGCTTTCTTACCAATGTATTGGCCCTAAACTCATGAATTTTGGATATGTTGTAATTTATAAATTCATCTAAAAGGAGGTGTTTTTTTTTTTAAATGTGTGTTTTCCACACAAAAAAAATTTGAAGAAGTAAATTCAGCTATTATTTACCTTCAATTTTCAAAGTCCAACCATCAATTTTTTTCTAAAAGGAAAGTGTCACATGAACAACAAACATGTCTACTTTAAGTTGAGGGCAGAAGTAGAATTTACTAACAAAACTAACATCTGCAAAAAAAATCTAAAACAAAGCTACCATCAGTAAATTAAACATTGGAGGTCACCATTTTGACAACGAAATTACCATACCCGTTTTTCGGGTATTTCCGGGCCATACCGAGGTCCCTACCTTATAACTTATACTGACATACGATTTTCCGCACTTAAGACTTAAAGTTGAGAACAAATTAACTCAATGGGAATGTAGTTCAACATTTCTCCTAACGTTAATGGGCGGAGTCAAAACTTAATTATGGGCCTACAGCTCCTAATTTATTCAAATTACATGTACATGAAAAAATTAAAAACTTGGATTCTATTGCGCCGACGCCCATTTCCGATTCAAATTTACTAGGAGTAGATACTTCGATAAAACAAGGGAGACTACTACTTTTTTTGTATCGGAAATGGGCGTCGGCGCCGAAAAATCCGAGTTTTTAATTTTCCGATGTGTGTGTCTATTTATTATTAAATTAGTTCTTTGGACATATATTTGAGTTCCGTTTCCGGCCTTATAATTTGGAAGACATCTTGGCCTACATTTCCATCCAACTATTTTGCTTTTTCAATCGACCTTTATTTTGGAAATCTTTGGTATATATAAGGCATCTTCGCATGCAAAATTTTTTGTGAAATATAAAATACAGGTCTTTCATATTAAATCGTGTAAGGCATCAGATATTGATATATATCTGTGCCAATTCTCATTGATGTAGGTCGTGTCCCACGTTCGCTACGCTTCTCCCAGTGACCCATATCACCATAAGGGGGCTCCGCCTTATTTCGACATGGCGTGGGCCACGCCCCCTTTTTAATGGCGGAAGTTGCCGATACTTAAGAAATATTTAATTATTACCACTATATACATCAAAATATTTGATAACTTGTGTTTCAGAATGCATTTTGAAGACATTTAAACTGGAATGTTTTAATTTGAGCTTTAAAAACTCTGTAGAGTCCATATTATAAATGATCAGAAATTTCCGTGTGCAACACGTTGTCATTGGCAACCATTCACAGCCACTTGCATAACGGCTATATCGTAGTACTATCTCAGAGTTTCATTCATAAGTGTTTGCCGTGTGCAAAAACTATTAAACCATTGGTCAGGGAAAGCTTTAATTAATTATTCATGTGCCAAAGTTGAAAGTTTAAAATAAATCGACCCTAAACAGTATTTTAGTGATAAGGGAATGCCTTAGCCTTATATAAACTATATAGTCATTGCGCATGACGCGATCGGCGGAATGAGGTCACAGAATGTGGAGATGCAGTCCATGTTAAAAAAGGACAAACCAAGTCGTACTTTAAAAATTCATAACTTTAAAACTACAACAGCTAAAAATATAATTTTGGTGTTATAATTCTGTAAAAATTTAGCTCTATTCAACTATGCCATTGGTTTATTTTTACAAAATGTTTAAATTTTTGACCAAAGTATCTACTAGGAGTGTCCGCCGCCGAAGTGTTCAGTGTTTGTTTCAACTTAAGGCTATTCTGAAATTAAATGAAATAGCAAAACGAGGTATGTGGAAGCTTAAATTAGAGGACAGGACAAAAAGTTTAGGACTTTCGGCTTAGAGCCTTCTTCAGCTAACAGTAGAAATGAAAATTTCACAAAGAGCAGAGCAGAGCAACAACTCAAGAAATATCCATTGTTGTCGCCGGAAGTGGGAACACAGGAAGCGATAGAATATAAATATTGACACTGAAAAAATGAGGTCCACAATAATAATGGACCAGAATATCCAGGGATACATAAATACACAGCAATAAGAAAATAGTAGAAATACAGAGAAACAGAGAAACATTAGTAGGATAGTATTTGATTAATATTGAGCCAAACAGCTTAATAAATTTATTTTCCAGTTTAACCCTCTCTGGTGTGTTATTACATGAAATCAGTGCCGTAATGATTACATCCAATGCACCTCATGGTCATCTCTGTTGAAATGAGAAGAGACCTTGTTCAAAATTTGGAGATGTTCAGTAAACCTATCAGCCAATATTCTCCCCGTTTCACCTATGTAACTAGACTGGCATCTACGGCACACAATCGCATATATTACATTACGGCTAACACAGGGGAAACCCTTTTTAATGGTAAATGTACATTTGGGGAGGCTATGCTTTCAGTATGGAGTGTAAGGGTACAAGTCCTGCAGCGGCTTCTTAAGCATGGTTTAGTGCCATAGTAAGACGGTTCAATCGAAGGGGACTATGAACCAGAAAGTCACCTAGATGTTTGTCCCGTCTAAAGACAATCATTGGAGGGGGTGAGAAAACCCTGTTGGTATCAGGGTCAACAAGAAGTATGCTATGATTTTTGGGGAATATTTTTTTTGCAGTTAAATTGTGAGGGTGGTAGGTTAGTAGAAGTTTGGTACGATCTTCATTGTTGTTTTGACGAGTTTTGAAAGCCTCTTTTCGTGTGATAGTGCTAATGCGACCTAGTGCTGAGACAAGAGTAGTTTCAGGATAGGATATGGAGCAGAAAAAATGCATCATTTCATCAGCTCTTTCCAAAAATTCCTCTTCAAGTTGGCAGACGCTGTAGTCTAAGGGGTTGTGAGAAAGGTATATAGTCTTTGCATGATTTGGGGTGGGAGGATAAGTATAATATGTAATTTCAGTTGGTTTGTATTAGGCAGATGTAATCAATTCATTTTCTTTCAAAGTCACTGTGATATCAAGGAAGTTGACAGAATGTCCAGAGATTTGAGAAGTACATTTTATGGATGGATGAAATGAGTTTTAAATATTTATACATTTCCGGAAATCATTAGTTTCCATGCTGGTGATACCTATGCCGTCATCTATGTATTTCTCAAGGATCTAAGGCCGTCAGCATGTGGGATTGATGTGTACAAGGAGCAGACATCAAGTAAAAACAGTGAGTGTTTTGTATCAGGGTTGATGTTTAGAGAATTAAATATCATTAAAGCGGGGTTAGTGTCTTTTGGAGGGTAAGGAGGTAAAATAGGGTTGACAGACTTCATCTTGAAATTCTGAAGTGTGTTTATTGGGGCAGGCGCAGACCGAGAAAATAGGTCGTACCGGGTTGCCCACTTTGTGAATCGTAGGCAGCAAATAGAAAGAAGGTTTGCCAAAGTCACTATTGAAAATGAGTAAGGCAGAGGCCGATTTTGGAAGTGTTGATTGGTTAATGAGTGGGGTTGTTTTTTTTTTTTTTTTGATGCACAATTTCATTATTTTGAACGATGGGGTTATTCTTCAGGGGCTTATAGAATCTTTCATCCCCCCACTGTTTCTCAGTCACATCACGCAGTTGGTATATCTGTATAATAAGTTATCCAACAAAGAAGGTCGAACTCGCTATAGCTTTAAGGGTGTTCATTGCATCATGCTGTAATAGGCACATATATAAAATTCTTTAAAATATTTAATTGTTACTAAAATTCTCGCTAAGAATAATACAAATGGATTTTGTAATTATGGTTTACTACCAACTAAAATAATCTCAAGCTTGCTAGAACATAACTATGCTGCTAGTTCACAAATGATTTCTGAAATTACTCATATACATGCAAACGGGGTTTCTTTCAGCCACCCCCAAGCAAAATGTGCACAACAATATAACGATTATATAATAT